TATATATATAATATATAAGTTTTTCTTCATTACCCATTCAAGCCGTCTCCAACCATTATTAGTCTCAAAGTGGGTTTCTCGTCATCAAACTTGGTATTAATCTTATTTTAGTCATGGACAAACTTGGTATTAATCTTATTTTAGTCATGGACAAACTTGATATTAATCTTACTTTAGTCACCAAAACAGGTAAGTGAAGAAACTTGCAACATTCAAGGTCATCAGATATTTGTCCTGTTTTACTCAACATAGAAAGTTACTTTCTAGAGATGTTCCACAAATCACACTTATGTTTACTTGTGTATGGAACAACATTATTCTAATATAATAGTACTACATTCCCCAAAATAAAATCACTTAATTATGCTTATATATCAGTGTTTGTTAGTTTAATATCACATTTATGTTTGTTTTGTATATTTTCTTCTTTGATTTTTAGAAATTCTTTGATCCAAGTAGATAAAATGAATAAATAAAATTAAAGATTAGATTAATAAGGGCATCCATAAAATATAAAGACAAGTGTCTAAAAGATGATTCAAAATTCAGTTTGTTATCATTAATAGTCTTTTAAGTTATCTTGTATTCTTGGAATACTTACTCACATTTGCATTAAGAGAAAATAAAATTGAGGCACTGTCTGTGGTATGGATACTGATATTAAATTATATTCAGTATGCTACTATATTTTCCTTCAGGAATGGCTTATGGACTGTTAGCATCTGTTGATCCTGTTAATGGATTGTATGTGTCTTTCTTCCCAGTCCTTGTTTACTTTCTGATGGGGACATCCAGACACATATCTGTAGGTAGGCAGTCTCATTTCTTCTATTTACTGTGGTTGAACTATGAAGCCTCTAAAGAGATGATATTAAATTGATTGATGTTTAGTAGAATGTTTGAAAAGTTTATTTTATTTTTTACTTATGAAAGCTTTTGAAGTATGAACTAGTTCATGTAATCTGTAGTTTAAAGCAAATTTTAATTTTAACATTTTATTGATTGAATTACAGTTTGAAAGTAACATTGACCGATTCTTAATAAAGTATTCATGTACAAGGGCTGTTTCTTTGCAGGTACATTTGCTGTGGTGAGTTTAATGATCAGCAGTGCTGTGAGTAAACTTGGAGTAGTTGATTCGTTTAAACACAATGCTTCCCATGTTGAACAGGAAAATACAAGTGAAGCTGTGGTTGCAATGAAAACTTATGAAACCAGTTGGCCTCCAAGTAAAGAAGAAGCTATTGTTGCCTTAAGTCTGGCCACTGGCTTGTTGCAGGTAGAGTTTATAATTTATCTTCTTTACTTCTAGTTTGGAACGAAAGCTTGCATTCAAAACAAGTTATGTAATTATAATTAATATGTGATGGTAGAGAAACCAAATTACTCTAAAATCAGGGTTTTTTTAGTTTTGTCTTTTGAAAGTAATGTATTAGTCTATCTTTGTGCAGATTGATATAGAAAAACTTACTTGTATGCATATTATAATATTTAGAAGATTAAACTTGCAGTTTGAGTTAGTATCAGGTCTCATCAGTTCACTGTTGACAACAAGAAAGTTTATTGAAAACTTTTTAATTTACATATGAGAAAGAAAATTACATGATGTACTGTGTTGAAAAAGCAATCTCTCTCTCACTCAGATAAAATAAGCTTCTAGATTATAATGTAATGAAAAATAACATAAACTGGACTGATACACTGGAAAGCCCGATGAAAAGAAGTAAAACCCATGTCCTGTTACTAGTATAATTTTGCAACAATTTTTTCTCTCGAAGGTGTTGATGGGATTACTTCGTCTGGGCTCTTTATCAATAGTTCTGTCGGATCATCTGATTTCTGGTTTTTCGACCGGAGCTGCCGTTCATGTTGCTACTTCTCAGATAAGAAATCTGTTTGATATTCATGTCTCCAATTTTCATGGACCATTGAAGATAATATTTGTTCGTTATTGTTTTCTTAAATTACTTTTTTTAAGTAGAAATAAGCTGCTTTGGGCTAATAATAAGCTAATTAGTTAAATTATATTGTGTAATTTTGTAAAGTCAGAAAATAGACATTTTATGATCTAACTAAGTATATGCCATTATTAGCTTATGTACAGAGAGCCACAACATACATATCTTTATTAGTGTGTTGGGGAGATTTTCTCAAAATAAAATTAAAAAAGAAAATGTTTCACACAGTATTGGGAGAAATACTGCTGTTAAAGTTAGGTTTCACATAATCATAATGGCATCTTGTTCTAGTTTGGTATCATAATATGTCACTTATACAGTTTGTTTCTTTCATATCTTTCAGACATATATTAATATCTTTTCTGTTCTGGCAATGGCAAACCCAGCTACTGTTGTCATCTCTGCCATTGCTATTTTTGTTTTAGCATTGGTGAAGGAACAAATTAATGCTAGGTTTCGCCAAAAGCTCAAGATGCCTGTTCCTATAGATTTAATAGTAGTGAGTATATGGACATTTCAGTTATTACTCTCTAATTTGATAAGTCAGAGTTTGGTACTTTATAATTTTATTTCCTAACTTAAGTTTTTCATTATATATTCATTTTGGTCCATTACCTCTATGAATTTTTAATGTCTAATCACTTAACATGTGGACTTTTCTTGCAAATGATACCCTAACTGGATAAACATAAAACTCTTCTATGTTTTGAAAATGCAGTAAATGATATACAAATTCAACAAATAGTTTCTTAGGTACTATGATAAATAATACCAACCAGCATAAAATACTCATGCTCAGTCTGTCATGGTCTGGTGGCTAGGGTACTTGATTCGCAATCTGTGTCTTATCTTCACCCCTTTGCTATATCTCCACCCTTCACCTTCTTCCTGAGGCTTTTCATCATGATCCTGATAGTTCATATTTGTTTGTAGCTTTGACTTCAGCAGTTTCTTTCTCTACTGTCATTTTTTGCCTTAGATTCTCTGTTTTTGGGATCTCTTTGGTCTGAATGCTTTCACTTTGGGTGTTCTCTTTCCTTCCTTCTATCTTCTTGACCTCAGTTTTGCCCCTTTTCATACTGAATCAATCTTTGAGGCTATTCTCAATTTCTTGGAATGTTGAGCTACGGCTGCTTGCAAATAATCTTTCTTTAATTCTCTGATTTCCTGACTCACTAGAACATGGATACCTTGGGAGTCACGTGGAACTACCTGTCTCTTTTTCCTCATCCTATCACTTCTACTCACCATTCCCTCCTCCCACAGAGCAGGCTGTTGTAACACTTGGCTCTGAAACTCTAAGTGCCAGTCTCTCCCAGGGTTCACACCTGTAGTCTCCTTTCACTGGTGACATGAGCTAACTTTTATGTGCAGGAAATTCCATGGTAGTTGCACGTGAGGTAATAGCTCTTAGTAATAATGTAAGGGAAAATGTTAAATTTTCAGGATGAAAGGAGTAAATCACAAATAATATCAATATAGGATTTGTATATCTAGCATCTTGTTTTGTAGGATATAATAACAAGTAATATCATTTTATAAATTTAAAATCTTATTTGAGATGTAGGGCTTGGTTGTTACCTGGAAGTGTAGAACAGGACACACCATTTAAAGTAAATCCTGGCAGATATGTAAAGTTAGAAGGGACTTGGATTTGCCTTGGGATACATATAAGGGTTCCTCCTCCTTACAACTGTCGTTATTATTTCTGTCTCGTGTATTTGTACAAGACAGAACAGCCTAAAGCTCTAGCCATACTGTATATTCCAACTTTCTCTCCATCTTGGGAGCATGTAACCATCAGCACTGAATATTTCTGATACCCTTGGTTTCACTATCACAGTAAAAAACAATTGGTTGAAAATTGTTCCCTGCTTCAGATGGATGCAGTCTCTCACCAGGTGCTTCTTCACTAGGTAAACTCCAGTCTTATGGAAGTCACACCCTATGGGCTTTTCCTTTCTGAAATAGCTACAGAAAGGAGCTCATCTTTGTAATTGTTCAGCATCAGCCTTTCCACTACCTTCATTGTTAGATTCTAGCTCTTAGTGGTGCAGAGAGGTAAGTAGCGTTTTTGAAGTTAACATTTCCTTTGTATCATCACAAATGAGCCTGTGATCATGTGCTAGTGTTCACGGGGATTGCTGCACATTGAGCTTGTGTCACTCTCCTGTTGGTGGAGGGCTACTGCATTATGATAATTATGTTATAACTTGGTGCATTACATGTAGACATATGTAGAGGTTGGAATTTGTTCAAGTTTGTGGTGAGGTAATAGCTCTTAGTAATAATGTAAGGAAAATGTTAAATTTTCAGGATGAAAGGAGTAAATCACAATTAATATCAATAAATGATTTGTACATCTTGTATCTTGGTTTTTAGGATATAATAACAAGTTATACCATTTTATAAATCTAAAATAAAGAATACACTAACTTACAAAGTTTTATATTCTTTTTAATTTTTAATGTAATAGAACAAAGAATAAGAACTTTCATATTCCTGTTGAGACTTAATATGAAGAAACAATTAAAAAAGTTTCATTTTGAGACTTCCTGCATAGATTAAGTTAAGTTATGAAAATTTCATGTTCACAGTGAGAAAAGATATGAAAAACAAATTAACATGCAAAGTTTTGTTTTCAGACTTCATGCCTAGAGCAAATTAATCTACAAAGTTCAATGTTGAGACTTAATATATAGAACAATTACTTCATAAGGTTTAATGTGCTTAGTAAGATTAAGTTTTGTAAACAATATATATAAGTATATATATATATATATATATAACCCTAACATGTCAAAAGAATCTAAATTTTCTAATAATGTTTTTATAAACTGTGATTAGATTGCATGTAATTATACCATGCACCCTCATAAACTTGGAATAATTAATAAAAACATAATACTTCAGTCTGTCTTATTAAAATTATAATGTGAACCAGGATTTGAACACTGAAATTGAAACACATCTCGCTTATGTTCAATAACAGCAACATTCATAAACCAATAACAGATGTAATACGTATCAAAATAACCTCACTTTTTTCAGTCAGAATTATTGAATGTGAAAGGTCGTAGACTTGAATAATCTAGAAATAGTTTTTATGTGCTTCAAATGCACGAGTACATATGAATTTTTGATGTGTAAAATGTACACCCAAACATTTTATGAATGTTGGATGTGTAAAACTTTGACTAAAATATCTACATAAATATCTTGTGAATATTGAAGGTGTCAAACTTTGACTGAAACATATATATATATATATATATATAAATATCTTGTGAACAGTGAATGTGTGAAATATTGACTAAAACATATACATGAATACTTTGTGAAGGTTTAACGTTTGAAACATTGACTAATATATATGCACATGTGTTTTGTGAATGTTGGATACCTCAGATTTTATTAAAAAATTAGATCGTACTTGTAAATATTTTATGAATGTTGGATAGTTGAAACTTAAACCATGTCTCTTTCGTTTTGAGCATTTTGTGCTTTATATTTTCTAAATGATATAGCTACATTCTAACATTTAAATATCAAGTATTGTTTTGCACAACTGACTCTTAAAAAACTGTACATTCAGTTTTGTAGCTCAATGAGAGAGCATTAAGGTTATCTTTGCACTCTAAAATTTAGCTGAAAGTTATTTATGTAGGAAAGTTTCAAAATATTATTAACTGAAATTGATAATTTTGATTATTTAAGTGTATTACATGAATACATCTTTATTTTATATGAGAATTAAGTGTTTCTAATATTCAAACATTTCTCTTTTGCATTCTTGCAGTTTTTCTGAATTTTTTATTGATATGCAGTAACCTGAATTTCATTGATATATTCAGAAAGAGATGAATAACCTAAGAATGCTTTAATTATTTAAAACATTTTATTGTTTATGTTTATTTCAGACTGAAATGAGCAAATTAAATAGCCAGTTCATTAAAACATATATTTTATTACATACTTTCTTCAATATTTTTAGGTTGTAATAAGTACTGTTGCATCTTATTTGGGAAATTTTAACAAAACTTTTGGAGTGGAGATTATGGGTCATGTTCCTACAGGGTAAGTTGAAACCTTAAATTTAGGATATTTAAAAATGAAGTTTGCATGTATTTGTTCCCAAGGGCGAGAATATTGCCTAAGAATGAAATTGATGGTTCATATTCCTACAACTTAAAACTTTTATCCCTCAGTAAAAAAAAAAAAGTATGGGGAATTTCTAAGAATGGTAAGATAAACCATTGATTTTGTGTTGGTTGAGTGAGAATAAAAGTTATTTTTATGAATGTTAGATAGTGAAAGTTTTCCCATGTGCTTTGCATGCTCTCTTGACTTCAGCTATCTCCACATTCTAACATTTAAAATTTTGATTATATACTTAAAAGGTAAGTTAATTTTCTGTGAAGTCTAAGAATAAAGAACAAGGGTTATCTTTCCAATAGAGTGAGTCAAACAAATGATTATATGTTCATTAAGAATGAAATTATTGGATAATTTTATGTTGTTTAGGGTCTTAGAGAGTTTTGTGTCAGTATTTCATATATTATAGAACTGTAATGATAGTTGTAAATGTATTTCCAACTATTAGTATAGTTTTATCAAAAATCATGATCAAGTACTATTTTAAGTTTTAATTATTCACATGAGCATGTAGTACATGATAGAGAGGAAATTCTTTTACTCTGTCTGTTAGACAGTAAATTAACCCTAAGAGCAGGAAAATTAGTAAAATGTGTCAATTGTCTCTTGCTTTTTCCAGCATACCCGCACCTGTACCTCCACGAAGTGACCTGCTAGCTCCTCTGGCTACAGATGCCATTGCTATAGCCATAGTTTCATATGCTGTTGCACTGTCTCTTGCCAAAACCTTTGCCAAAAGAAACAAATATACCATTGATCCAAACCAGGTGAAGTTGTTTTAGTAAATAAAAAAAAAAACTTGAAATTTCAGAAGTAGAATACACAGAACAGTTATTTAACATACACATACAGTAAGTATTCTTTCAGTGTTGAAATATACTATCTTTTGTTATTGTTGTTGATTTCTTTTTCAATCCTGTTAGCATTGCTATAAGAGTTTCTTATAATTTACTGCTGAGGTTACTTGCACTTTATACAAATGATGTCTTAGATCTTTTGCTGCCCTTGGAACTCCTTCGTTCAATGTCTGTTTTGCTCAGTCTAATGACCATGATTAAACGCTGACATTGTAATTTATTTTGTAACAAGCATCAGCAAAGGATGGTAAGGTTGGTCTTTGATCACACATCTTGACAGACTTTCCATAGTCCCTCCACTGTATGAGATGTCAGTTTCCAAGATAAGTAGACCAAAGACACATGAGCTCATTGGAGCTGCATCAGGGGATTTGATAGATATGTGGTTAAATAGGATTACAGGGCTTCCAGTTTCTTTGTATGTCTCTCTTAAAAAAAAACAGCCATTGATTTCAAAATGTGGCTAGAAGTATCAACTTCGATTCCTTGCCATTTTCATTGTAATGGCTTTTTGGGTTGAGTGGCTCTTTTCTGTTTCTGTAATCTTTACTTTGTGGATGAAGGTGTTGCTCCATGTTAGGTGGGAGCATGGTTTCAGAGCCCATTGTTGGCCTAAACATTATATATATATTGTATAAGTTTTTTAAATTTCTATAGAGAACATTGAAGGCTTCCTTCTTGGAAATACTTTGTTGTTGTTTTAACTAATTCATCATTATTTTATTCAGTATGTTTTTACATATTAGTTTGTAGTATTGTTGTAGGCAATAGCTCATTATCTGCTATACTATTGTTGTACATATTTCTTACTTTTTATTTCTTTGTTGGTATTTCATCATTGTAATATATATATATATATATATATAGTTATACTTCCCAGTAGGGAGGGAAACATATTGTATTTCCTAAACTTTTTTTTCCTTCTTTCCAGTAATTACAATTGTGCTCTCTTCCTTTAATTCTGGGTCAATTGTCTTGAAACTTAGAGGACATGTATCTTTACTAGACGCATTTTCAATTATTTAAATTTAGACTCCTGTTCTGATTTCAGGGGGTCAAAGGTCAAACATTACAAAAACACACATTTTGGCCTACAGAACCCTTATACTTTTATCAACGTAGATGAGATGTTGCACAAATATACCCTATGACAACCCTCACAGACTGAAACAGACAGATATCAGACTTGAGCATTTTTGCAATAATGCAGGGTATCAAAGTTCACAAAGTTATGGTTTTTGGCCTGCCATTCCTTTATATTCCAAATAATCTAAACTATACTTTGCACAAAGATACCATGCAATAGCCCACAAATATAAAGTAGGCATATTTGAAATATGTGCCTTTCTTTTAAGGGTCAAAGGTAAAAACAGTTTGAAGTGTATGTAATAGGGAGCTCTTAACATAGAAGCATTGTCTGCATATGTAAATGTTACAAGGGGTTGTTATTAATAATATTTTTGTATACACAATTAATGTATGAAATTGAATATACCATATTGAAGAAAATGTCTCGCTTGTCCAAAAATTACCTCTAAAGTTTCATCAGTGTGAATTACTTTAATGGAAAAACTGATTGTCCTATATATTATGGGGATCACAATTTAGTATGCTTTGATACTTCTTCTCACAAAGTAGTCTCAAACTGATACAGTGATAAGTGTCTTGCTCTCTGAAGCATATATGTTGTAGTTTTTGCCCTCTTTCCTCCCTTGAATACTATTTTTATTGAAATCTACTGTACTCTAAGGAATAGAGGAGACATATGGTCTTTCTAGTATTGTTATTTATTTTTAGTTATGAAAAGCTGATAGCACAATAGGCAGAAAACAGTACTATTTATTTTCACCTTCATATTTGTTACATTAAGTACTGTTTCTACTTCTAACATTTTAGGAGATGATAATGTTATTAGCAGTAAATACAGTGTTATGTTGTTTTTCATTTTCAGCTGCATATTACGTATTATGTTAAATACCATTTCAACTTGCCTCTAACTAATATTGTTGTTTTATTTATCAGTAGGTGGTAGTACAGAAGGTTGAGTATGTTATATTAAGGAATTTTTGAATATGTGAATCAGTAAGTCATGTGATAACTGCAATCAATTTAAAGTTGCAATGGAATGGCATTTATTAGAAACCTACATTTTAACAGTGTTTAGCATTTTGTAAGTAGTGTGATGGCACTGAAAACTGATTGCTTTTAGGAAAGGTATGTAATAGCCCTTTCTAATTTAAAATATTAACACATTCAAGTCATAAAGATGTGTTCAAATTGGGAATTTAGAAATTCAAAGGCAGGGATATCTGTTGTATTTAATGGCATTGGAAAACAAAGGATTATGAATCAAAATAGGAAACCAGGACCATCAAGAAAGAGACATGCAATAAGTTTTACCCTATCTCTGGTAAGCAAATTGTAGCATCTTGTGATATGTGAGAATTCATGAATAAAAAAGTCAGTAGGAAAAGCTGTTTATATGCCCCAGGAAACAATATGCAACATAATTAAGAAGTATCTCCATCTGTAAATGAGGCCAACAGGTTATGGATTTATCAAGCTAAGGCTTCCAGTCATACTTCCCATATGACTGTTGTACACCTCAAGTAGCTGGAGAGTGAAATGGGTATTGATATTATTCCTTGCAAAGACATATGAATCAAGTCACATTATGAAACCATCTTCCTCATTTACAAGATAGATTAAGGAAGACAAGCAGGGCAGAGTGATGTAATTTGAATGTGAAAGCCTTTTGCAATAGAAACTATGCTGTAGAGCAATTGTCAAAACCCACAGCCATCAGATACATCATGATTAAACATGGCAACATGGATTGTAACATTTTGATGAGGTTTCAAAATTGTTTTAAAATAATGTATTCATTCTCTGTGGTTAGGGGCAGCAAATATGTTTTTTCACTGTCATCAGCATATTGCATGTTACATTGAATGCTGTTTCTACTTCTGATAAACATTGTTGTTGTAGTCATTTGGATGTGATAGTATAAGGGGCAGCAAATACATTGTTATGTTTTTTTTATTTTCAGCTGTTATTATATATGACATTGACCTAAGATGCATGAAGTCAATTCATTGAACTGAATCTATATTGGAAAAGGATTGTTAACTATAATTCCAAATTTACTTGTATTTATATAAAATGTGGCAGTATTTTAGACAAATGTACAAATATGTTATACATAAAAAATCAAATGTGTTACAAATGTCAGAATGCAAGGTAGTGTTCATGTGAAGAATAAAAATATTTTTTGTTATTTGTACAGTTTGCATATGCATAACTTCTAGAACCTCCAAAATCTATAATTACAGTTTTTTTTTCAGCATTCATGTATATTGTGTCTAATATTTACTCTCCTCTACCATGAATGGTCACTAATTCAGTTATTGTAGGATAAAATGAATGGTTGATAACTCTGACATTAAATGCATAACACCAGTTGAATGTTATTCTGTAAAAGTTCATGCCATTTCATACTTTGACTCCCCACTGGTGCACATAGGGCCAAATGCTGTTTCTTTTTCCTTCTAATTCATGCTGTTATTGTCATAAGGAATTTATAATATTATGTATAGCAAATACAGTGTTATATTTTCCAACTTTGAGCTTTGTAGTACACACTGCATTGAATTTTGTATTTTACTTCTTACTGATATTGTTTTAATTATCAGGAGGCTATAGTATTAGGGGCAACAAATTCAGTGTTATGTTGTAATATTAAATGATGCTTCTAATTAAAATTGGTGATAGATTGTGGTAAAACTGATTATTCAGCAGTAGGGTAGATCTGCTGAATAAAAGGAGATTCAACTAGATATTTAATACCAAGTTTCCCTGAATATCAGTTCATGGAAATAAAATAGAGACTTGACACAATGTAAAATACAAAAAGCATAATCTTTATTATAACAAGTCATAAAAAGACTGTATATGTACTTGCTTAGATGATCTACTGGATCATAACTATTCTCCCTCTCACCAAAATTTAACATAAATTTCTCCTTATTATATCATCATCACTCAGGCAAAGCATAATTTCCATACCCTTCAATCTTAATTTGTTACAGAGCCATGAAATAGATAATCAGACCCCTCTTGCTGCACCCATGGTGAGAAGAGCACAGATAGCCCATTGTGTAACTTTGTACTTAATTACAAACAAACAAACTTTTGGAAATTGCCAATAATTCTCTCTGACATTCAATACTTTATTATTTATAATAATTTATTAGCTTGAGTTCATTTACCAGACTGTTTTCAATTCAGTGTTCCTTACTTCACAGATTATGTCAGAGTGACTACACTAACCACACAGGACAAGCCATATCCTTGAGATAAAACCTTAACTACCATTGAAGGACACTACTGTCTACATTATAGTTTTAATGTGATTGTTATGTTTTTTCACTTTCATCTGTTTAATACACATTACATTGTATGCTGTTTTTTCTTGCCTCTAATGAACAAGGTTACTTTAGTCATTAGAAGGTAATAATACTGGAGGCAGCAAATATAGTGTTGTTATTTTTTTTCACTTTCAGCAGTGTATATATTACAGTACACATTTTTCTGTTTGAACTTTCAACTAACATTATGCTACAGTTATGAGGAGGTGATAGCTAATGGGGCAGTCAATACAGTGTCATATTTTTTGTTTTTTACATTCAGCTATGTTGTATTGCATGCGGTTTCTTCTTGTCTCTAACTAACATTGTTTTAATTTATCAGGAGCTAATTCAAAATTATAATTGCTGTGTCAAAGTCCACTGTAGTTTAGAATTACAGCTTTTGTAAAGCAAAAAGAAACTGCCTAAGTAATTGCTCCAATAAAACAAATAAAAAGTAGTGGAAACAATGAAATAAATTAGTTAATTACCTATAATTAATGTACAAAATCATGATATATATAGATTATCCGAAGACATGCGATTAAAAATGACAGCTGAAATAGTTGTAGTTAAAAGATTTGAAATTTACTATCCACATAAGGAAGAAAGAAAGCTTGACAGTGGGGCAATCAATACAGTGTCATATTTTTTGTTTTTTACATTCAGCTATGTTGTATTGCATGCTGTTTCTTCTTGTCTCTAACTAACATTGTTTTAATTTATCAGGAGCTGATAGCATTAGGGACAGCAAATACAGTATCATCTTTTTTTTCCTGTTTTCCTTGTGCTGCATCTTTATCTCGCAGTCTCGTCCAAGAAAGAACAGGAGGTTGCACACAAGTAGGCTCACATTTCTTAAGAAACTGTTGCTCAGTTTTTGTTTTACTAAGATAAATTTGAATTTTTTCATTTCATCTTCACATTAATATTTTGATACTTTATTGTTACCTACTGTAGCTTTAACTCTTTCCATTACATAATATGCCCTTAATAACCAGTGGAATGAAAGTGAGGTTTCATATAAGAAATAATACAGTCACACGTCAAATAATGTCATGCATTAATCTACTTTTTTAAAGAAATGCTTCAATAACATATCTTATATACCATAATGGTGTTAAAGGTAGTCTAAATAGGTAGTATTTTTTATCGTAATGTATCTTATTTGTCAAAGTTATCTCTACAATTTCTTTAGAAATTATGTACAAATGTTTCAAAAATTCATCTCTTAGTTTATGCTGTGTCAAAGTCCACTGTAGTTTAGAATTACAGCTTTTGTAAAGCAAAAAGAAACTGCCTAAGTAATTACTCCAATAAAACAAATAAAAAGTAGTGGAAACAATGAAATAAATTAGTTAATTACCTATAATTAATGTACAAAATCATGATATATATAGATTATCTGAAGACATGCGATCAAAAATGACAGCTGAAATTGTTGTAGTTAAAAGATTTGAAATTTACTATCCACATAAGGAAGAAAGAAAGCTTGACAGCAAATAGATTGAAATAAAGAAAATAATCTCAGCTTTCAGTTGATACATTTATGATTTTGTTACTCTTAGAATCTTGGAAGTTGTAAAACAAAAAAATGCAGTCAGCTGAATTTTAGAATTTGACATCTTTCCAGTTTAAACATTTGTGTTTTTAAACTATGTGAGCTTGAAATAAAGAGCAAACATGTTCAATAGGCACAACACAGATTTTCATCTTTGTTTAATATTTTGACAAGTTAAACGTAAGAGATGGGAGTTTAAATATTCCTACTCCCTAAATAAATGTTACAGCTGAAGGACAGAAATCAGGATTAGGGTTAACAGTTTGATTCTGTTTTTTAATTTATTTGAAATAAATGTTGATAAAGCAAACATCAGAACAAAATTATGAATCTGAATATTTCAGTTGTAGTTTTATTTCATATTTTTAGTGCTTAATGGAGTTTAAAAGATGTCTTCATTCTATAAATAAGCTTCCTTTTAATACAAAATTTAGTTTTTTATTTAATTAGACATACAACACACAAGATATCAGACAGTTGTATTCCAAAACATTTAAATTGTTTGCAGTAACTTTTGTATCAGTAATTTTCTACCTAATGTTTATTTAGCTTAAAAGGCTTTTACTAAACCTAATTACGTTGTTTAAGTTTTATATTTGTAAATGTATAACCCTCTGTTACTCATATAATTTCATAAGTAATTTGCTAAGGTTATATATATATTATTTACATTTATTTTTTAAAGTTATGTTCCCTAGGATTATGTTGAGCGGGGCAAATAGTGAAATTTCTTAATCTAGTAACTGTCATATTCATTTCTAAGGTGTATTTAACTAATTCATTATGCTCACATGAGACTAATCTTCCTATTTTCAGCTTTTTTTAAAGATATTTTTAACTATCCCTTGTTTAATATGATAGACATCTTCAGGTACAACAACTTAGGATTAATTTACTTCTTTAATTATAAACTGTTGCACATGAAAATATATCATATACACAACATAGTACAAAACCTGTAACAAGCTGATAATACAATTAATACCATTCTGTAGGTTTCTTCATACTAATCTTCACAATGTTATTGTGTTGAAACAGTATAATCTAATTTTTGTTAGGTTTCATATGATAAAAGTAGTAAAGGTCTCCGACACAGTTTGTGTAGGTAATGTATAATTCATTGAAAACAAATTCACTCTGGTCCTAGAAAAGTAAAGGTAGTAAAACATTTACTATTTGGTTAGAAATCAAGTTATGATACTAGGTGGCCTCTGTGAAAAGATTAAGATTATTCATATGGTGAACATTGATGAAATATTAAAATCATGGTAATACTCCAAAAAATCTCTCTTTAATTACTGATATTTTGGATTTTTTTCTAATTCCATCATCAACATGGAAAACTTAGTAAATAATTAACAACTTTATAAAACATCATAAGCTTTTAAGTGAGAAGTTGTCAATATGAATGTAAGTTTAGAAATAACACATATTAACACATTTACATGTTACAGTACAAACTGAAAGAAACTGTAGAAAAACAAGTGTGCCCTAAGAAATAAGTAAATCATACAACTTAAAGCTTACTCTTCTAGTTTACACTTTCAGTGCTTCCTGTGTTATTAATGCTGAGTAATTTTTGAGAAGCAGAAGTATATGAGCAAGTTATTCAGTACTTAACATTTGTTTTGAGCTAACACAGAATAATGACTGTTAACTTGTTTCAACTTTTTTTATTAAAGAAATCATACCTAAGTAATACTGGTTACATTTGTAGCTTGTAATAAATAAGCAATATATTTGGGTAGAGCTACACTATTGTTTAGTCAAAATAAACACAGACAGCAGGAATCACTGTGGCTAATTATGTAACAAATTTGTGAGTTGTGTATGTATTTTTGCATATAATCATGCCAGTGTAAATAGTACTAGCTAGTGTATCATGTGTGAGCTCAGCTCATTTGTATTTGAAGCTGAACAATTTTGTTTCAGTTATGGCAAAGCTACTAAGGCTATCTGCTGTTGTTCCTAATTTTGAATTGTCAGCCAGAGGGAAAGCAACTGGACAGTAGCACCAACATCAACTCTTTAGTGTTATAATGTGATGGTCAATCCTATTTGTTGGTAATGAGTAGCCGTAGAATAAGTGGTAGATGCTGCCAACCAGTTTCATTCCTTCTGGTTGACATTTTAAAATTATGGATGTTAGTAGATAATAGCATTAGTAGCTTTACTATAAGTCAAAAACAAAGAAACAAATAGAACTTTCTCATGACTGGAAGGGCAAGCATGGTTGATGGCTATGGGAATGCAACTTCTAACCCTCAAATAATGAAACAGCTAACCTAATCACTGGGCCATGTTGGTCCAAAGTTGAACAAATTTGATTTAATTAAAAATAATAATAATGAGAAATTGTAATGGTAATAATTTGATTGTTGGATAGTTGTAATAATAAAAAACCATTAATAATAAGAAACAATTTTTAATTAGCTGATTATTTTTGTGGTATTACTTGATATATGATGGCCCGGCATGGCTAGGTGGTTAGGGTGCTCGACTCGCAATCTGCAGTTCGCGAGTTCGATTCC